GGGAAGGCTGAGGAGTGGTTAAGGTGTGTGGGGGGGTTGGTGTCATCTGTTGATTTCATTAATTTATACAATCTGTGCCCTCCATTACCCCGAGCAATGGAGAGTTGGCTCTTGCTTGCGTTTTCAGGCGGCCAATGTTCACCTGAGCCCATTCTTATTTGGCAAATCCTGCCCACAAGCCTGGGCAGACTGATGTCCTCGAAAAAACACCAGCAGCCGCCTAGACAGTGCCCAAGGGCCTCTGTCCCTTGGTCCCCAACATTAGCAGAGACTAATAGGGAAACTGAGGCTTAGAGAGGCCAAAGGGTTTGAGCAGGGCTAATTCTCATTCTGGGCTTTTTCTAATGCCCTCCACCCCATTTAGGGAAAAACCTAAGAGCAGCTGGCTTTCAAAACTAAGCCCCCCACAGTGTCTCCGGTCCTTGCAGGGCCCCCCCTCGCACTGTGGCGCAGTATTTTATCAGCAGCTGAGTCACGCTCTGGCCCGAAGCTCTGCTGCCCCTCCCGGGCACCCTTGCAGTAGCTCTGCTTGGGGACCAAGGGATCCCAGAGATGTCACTATCTGGGATCAGGGCATTCAGCCTGGAGCCCACCCACTGGTATCTAAGCCCAGGGCTCCCCATGAGGTTTCCAGACCAAGGACCCCTCCTCACTGGGTTGATAAAGGCTCTCAGCTTAGGACGCTGGGTGCATGGGAATAGCCCCCCAGTAACCGAGGGCCCTCTACCCCTTTTCCCCTGGTCTTTCAGGCTGTCACTGTCACGGTCTGTTGCAGCACAGCTGCTGCCCCGGCTTGGCCCCCTCCCCCACTGGTAGCCTTCTCCTTGGGCAGAGGTGGGCTTGGCCTCCGCTCAGGAGGCCTGACACCACCGGGACAGGAGTAGGGTCCCCGCCAGCCCTTTAACCTCAATTTTAGGCTCCAGGTGACTGCAGAGCCCCAAGCAGAGGGCGGGGAGCTGGCCTCGCACGGGGCTTTGCTGGCGCCTCCCCTCCCTAATGACAAATCCTCTTTCTGTGTCCTTGCTCCCAGCTGGGCTCTCTTGAACCCCTGATGGGCTTGGGCTGGGCCATCAGCATGGCATTCAGGCCTGTCCTCATTGATCCCTGGCCACCTCCCCTCCGCGAGGGCCCAGGTCTCTGTGACAGGGAAAACCTGTACATGTGTGGACCCTCCCTGCCATCTGCTTTAACTTGCCATGTCTCTGGTTGGCCCTGGCTTTCTATTTGGTCAAAAATCAAAGCTAAAAGGTCCCTCAGACACCAGCCAGGGGGAGCCCCTCTTTTCTTAAGTGGAAAAAGCAAGGCACAGAATGGGGAGGGTCCCGCCTCCGCAGCTGGCTGGAGGTGGGCATAGATGCGGTCCCTCCCTGGCAGGCAGGGGCCTGGGGGCCACACTCAGAGAGCCCCTGACCCAGGCCCCTTTGTCCCACTCATCCTGGGCTTGTTGAGCCAGGCGGGGTAATGAAGTGTGGGTGACGGGAGGTGTAAAGAGGCAGTGGGGATGCACCTGTGTTCATGGAAATGATAGTTCTCATCAGAAGGGGCAGCCTTTCTGTCGAGGCCCCTTTAGCTGAGGAGCTGAGAGCAGAGAGACCACCTGGAGGTGGAGGCAGAGCTGGGCTCAGTCACACCTCCATGTCCCTCCTGCCCCTCTGGGATGGACTACAGGTATTTCTAACAGTTGGGCTGCACTAGTCTCCCAAGTGGCAGACCCCCCAAAAACATGACAAGCTGGATGTGTGCACTTGCATGGAGGAGGCAGGCATTGGGGACCCCAGCTCAGCACACTTTTGGGGGAGGGAAGGTGTCTGAGTGAAGGTCAGGATGCTGGACTTAGGGGTGACTTGGTTCCCCAGAAAAGGGTACAGAGCTCTGGATTGAATGACATTGAGCAGCTAGGACTTTCTGTCCCCAGTCCCCGTGACCTAACACAAGGAAGCCCCTTCAGCTCCCTGAGCTGTTCAGGAATTTTGGGGGGTCACTACACCCCCATACTCAGGACCCCCACTTGGTGACCTTTGGCCGTCTCCACAGACCAGCTGGAGGGCTGTCTTCCAGCTTCCACCTGGGAAGCCGCCTTCCAGCCTCTGTCCCCCCTCACCTCCCTGGTGGAGGGGGTGACAAGGTCTGATTTTCTGGCTCCTCCCCCAGACATCCGGGCTTGCACCTCGAACCCCTGTGCCAACAACGGGACCTGCACGAACCTGGATGCCGGCTACGAGTGCTCCTGCGTCCCCGGCTTCTCGGGGAAGGACTGTCAGACCAAGGACGGGCCCTGTGTGATCAACGGGTAAATATCTTCCTCCCGGTTACCGGTTACGCGGGACTTGATGAATGCTGCCTGATTCCCCTCCCCACCCCTAAAGATCCTTTCAGGCTAACCCAGGGGGACCTGTCTCCAGACAAAAGACCAGTAAGTGCTCCTCCGCAGCCCCGTGGGGGGCCGCCCTCCATCAGGGGACATGTCGTTTCCATAATTTTTTCAAATGACCTGAAGGCGATTTCATGTTCCCCTGCTCGCCCCAAGTGCGTACAAGTGTGAATGACAGTAGATTGGGACTGTGAACCGAGCTCCCAGCTGCATAATTTTCTAAAGGCGACACAAGAAATCAGGATTTCGAGGAACTCAGGCTACTTTTGTGAAACCCAGGCACCCTACTTTAGGGGGTGGTTTTGGGGACTGGGCAGCTCTGCAGGTGGGTTTCTTGGGACATCCCAAGAGGATGTGCTGGGCTCAGGGAGAGAGGGGGCCGTGGGACAGCACAGGGTGGGGCCGGGGTGGGGGGTGGACAGGCCATAAGGGCCAGGGGTTGAGGTCCAGCCCTTAGCTGCCCTCTGTGGGGAGGGGCTCTGGAGCTCCTGGGCAGTGGGCACAGAGGCAGAATGGCCACTCGCCTTTCTTGAGCCCCCCTGAGCAGCGCTTCCCAGCAGCCCGGCCACTGCTGGCCCTTGTGTGCGTAGCTGCAGGGATGGGGCATAAGGCGAGGCCGGGGGAGATCTCGACAAAAGCAAGAATTCAACCTGGAACCCCATCCCGGCCCAGGGGCTGCCCTCGCCTCCGAGGGAGAAAGCTAGGATGCCATGGCAGCGCCCCTTGCCCTGGCATCGCAGGGTGGCGTGGAGAAGCCCAGAGCTGGCTGGCGTCGCAAATGGGCATTTGTGAGGCATCGAAAGACCAGTACTTGAGGGGGGTGGAATTGTGCCTCGAACACCGTGTCTGCTTATTAGAGAGAAGGGAAAACGCAGAGCAAGCCCTTTAAAATATTTTGCTTTTCTCTCTAACAAAATACAGCCCAGGGTCCTTGAAATTCCTTCAGAGCCCCTTTCCCCTGCAGCCTCCTCCAAGGCGCCCACCGCCCCTTTCTCCCCTGGAGCCTCGGCATTTATCCGATGACAAAGGGCCCGCTCGTTTAGAAGCACTTACGTTAAACGCTCCGTGCTCCGCTCTGAGCAAACAGCTTGGGGCTGCAAGCTGCACTTGGGTGAATGAGCTGCCATTAACCAGTGGCACGGATGCAGACACACACCGCGTATTTCTTTCACTCTGAGAGTCCCCAAGGGTTTCCTCACAATACCCCGCAGGCTTGCTCCGCTGAAAATAAAAGTAAAAATAATAATGGGGGTGGGGGGGTGGAGGAGACCAGCAGCCACGGGTGTGGCTGGGCCTCAGGGGCCCCGGGACCAAACTAAAGGAGGGGCCTCGCTCCAGCCCTGCGTCATCACTAACTGTGCCTCTCCCAGCCTCAGTTTCCCCCAGCGGGTCGGGAGTGCTCGGGGTTTCCCCCAGCGGGTCGGGAGTGCCTCAGCCGGCCAGCGGGCCCTGGCGGGCGGGGGTCACAGCGGCCGGCGTCACCCACTCACCTGCCCCCTGCCCACGGCACCGCGGTCCTAGCCCAGCCCCGAGCGACCCTGCCCGCCCCCCGTGTCGCAGCTCCCCCTGCCAGCACGGCGGCACCTGCGTGGACGATGAGGGCCGGGCCTCGCACGCCTCCTGCCTGTGCCTCCCCGGCTTCTCCGGCAACTTCTGTGAGATCGTGGCCAACAGCTGCACCCCCAACCCGTGCGAGAACCAGGGCATCTGCACCGACATCGGGGGCGACTTCCGCTGCCGGTGCCCCGCCGGCTTCGTGGACAAGACCTGCAGCCGCCCGGTGAACACCTGCGCCTCGGACCCGTGCCTGAACGGGGGCACCTGCCTGCAGCACTCCCAGGTGAGGTTCGAGTGTCTGTGCAAGCCCGAGTTTACCGGCCCCGTCTGCGGCAAGAAGCGCGCGGGCGGCTCCCAGCAGGCCACCCGCCTGCCCGCCGGGCACGGGCTGGCCTACCGCCTGACCCCCGGGGTGCACGAGCTGCCCGTGGGGCAGCCCGAGCACCGTGTCCTGAAGGTGTCCATGAGGGAGCTCAACAAGAGCACCCCGCTCCTCTCCGAGGGCCAGGCCATCTGCTTCACCATCCTGGGCGTGCTGACCAGTCTGGTGGTGCTGGGCACCTTGGGCATCGTCTTCCTCAACAAGTGCGAGGCCTGGGTGGCCAACCTGCGCTACAACCACGTGCTGCAAGACAAGAAGAAGGTGCTGCTGCACTACACCAGCGGCGAGGAGCTGGCGGTCAACATCATCTTCCCCGACGACAAGGTCGACGTGGCCGCCTTCAAGGAGGCGAGCGACGAGGAGATCTAAGCGGCGCCCCCGCCGCCCCCCCGGGCCCCGCACGCTCACTCTCCGCGGTCCGTGTAACCTGTGGGTGACCCCGCTAGCTCCCGCGCCACCTCCGGTGGACGCCGCGCTTCCCCGTGTTCTCTGTGCCGCTGTGTGACCAGCGCAAGCCCGAGCCAGCCGCCTCCTCTCTCTCCCTAATGCATGATCCCAATAATAAGAATTTCATCTTTAAACGAGTAAAAGAAATAGTATGTCATTCTAAACTCTAAATTTAGCATAAAATCAAAAAGACAAAAAAAAAACAAGGCAACTGGACCAGGACTCGGTGCCGACGCCCTTCTCCCCGAGGGGGGGGCCTCGGCCACAGGGTCCTCGTAACGCATCCTGCTGACCAGCCACTGTGAAAAGGGCTACGACCCCCCCTCGTTCGTTAATTCTCACACGCCACATCCGACTCGCACTCACGTCAAGTCCAACATCGCGGTCTGTAGATCTTAGTGATTGAGTTGAGATTGTGCAGAGTGCAGTGGCCGTGTGTCCAGGCAGAGAGAGAGAGAGAGAGAGCCCAGGGTCGGCTGCTGGGGGGCCGGGACCTCGTCCCG